CTGCATTATGATCTGATGGTACTTACCAGATGAAGTTGCTAAATCCCAGTACCAAGATGCAAACACCAGTGAATTGGACTGCACCCGCCAGATCGGTATTGAAAGCTTCGATCAGTGCCGGAAACATTGGTGCTAGAGCCAATGGACCAAATCCTTGCGTGAACGTGGCCATTGATGCCGAGATGATGCATGCCATCTTCCAGCCAGTACTCCAATTGAGAGGGTCGTTGGGATCATCGCTGGGTTGTGGAACGAGGACTTGGCGATGCGCTCCTTTGACGAAATGGTGTGAGCCTACATCTGCCATGACCTCCGTGCCGGGAAGGATCTCTGTGTGCAGCTCGGCTTCGAGCTGCCGGCGTTCCTGCATCTCTTAGCACCGGGCGGTATCAATCTCCTTGGATACTTACATCTTCGTTATAGTCGTGTGCCTCCATCGTGATCAAAGCAACTGATGTGTGAGATGCAATGGTTGTGCTCAGACCAAGGACGCAGCGAGGTACTTGTATCGCTTGTTGTACGAGCAGGCGCACTTCGCGGGCCTATTCTGACTCAATCTGGAATGTCGGTGCTATTGCGATTCGACTTCGAAAACCAGCCGGAGTGCAAGTCAGACGTGGCTTGCCATGGAACGCGTGAAGATGTCGGCAGGATAGCACCGTGAGCACCTCTCGTGATCCGGCAATTGTAGTCGGAGCAGAATCCAAGACAAAAGGTTACTACTAGAATGTGTAGACAACGGCCGGCCGATCCTCCGCTGAGCGTCTGGCTACTTATCGCCCAGACTGATTTCCAACAGCCAGGTTCTCCGCATCTTCCACACGTGAAGGACCTGCGTGCCGTCTCATCGTTCATAGCACATCATGAACGGCATATATTAGCGCGCGCTGTCCAGTCATGAGCCTTGAGCACGTATTAGCCTCTGTCTAGCCCCGGTACGCCGATACATACCCATGTTCGCAGCGCTGGAATCTCGACCCAGGTTCCGGGATCGAGCGGCAGCGGATGAAGTGGGCGGCAAATGTCTTTCAAGCACGCTCAGCCACGCTGCGCGAGTTCACGCGAGGGTCAAGCTGACCGCACGGGAATTTGATCGAAAGAGTGATGGTTTGGTGATCGTGAGTGAGGTTTGACGACTTGTGTAACTGCCGAGCCACGCTACTCCGCGCTACGTCACTAGTGCGATGCGGGGAAAATAAGGGGAAGCCGCCACGAGAAGACTAGAACGCCGAGCTTACGACACCAACTTTGACTGTCCAACATCACGACAGGGAGCTCCTGCTGTTCTACTGATAATATCTTCGTTGTGTCTAGCCTATCGCGCAACCTCACTACGCCTCAGGCTTCAGCGGCGCGGGTCGTAAAGAGCATGTTTGTCTCCAGGTATCCCAGTCCTTCTACCGCCTATCCCTCTAAGTATTCTGTGCCTCAATCTTCGCATACGAACCGATCGTGTACTTTGGGGTCGTAATTCATGCGGCCTGTAGGCCATGGGAACTCGAAGTTAGCTATCTCGCCGTAGGCAGGCGGACCGAATTCCTTCCACCAGTGGCACGGGCGCTTGCAGAAGCACACAGGAGGACTGCAAGAGATGGTCAGAACACACATCGGCAACAACAGTCTCAAGCTTGAGGGAAACAAGACTTACAAAGGTCGCCGCAAGTAATCTGACATGATTGTCAGCCTTTCAGCGGAAAGGTCGTGAAGCGTACCATTGCGCTCATCATGCAGTATTGCCTCCCACTTAGTACGTGTGCTGAGTTTCACATGTCCGGACATAGTTACGGATGGTATCTGTCGAAGGTCCTCCAGCGCCAGTGTGAAGAACCAATCCAGTAGTGTCTTCTGACAGGAGATCAGGTCAGTAGGATGGCTCGGCAACGACCGAACCCAAGGGTCGTGGGAGAAAAATTGATCTTCGTTACCTACCCTCTCTATCCATCGGGGGAGAGAAACCTGGAAATGCAAATGGAGGCGAGCTAGCGTCGGGATCCTCCCAAAGACTCGAATCAAAGCTTGACCTGACCACTCCACTTGGCGTTGGTCATCATAGCCCAGAAACCTGAAGTAAATGGAGTTTGGAAAACCGAGAGAGATGCGACGGAGCCATTTGCCTTGCAAACTAGGCAACACCTCTATGAGCGTCCAGGGATCCCGAAAATGCGGCACAGTCGATGTTACAGTAAACTTGCGGAACTCGGCTCTTACCTGCTTACAAATGTACTGTATGTTGGTGTTGATCGACGCCCAAGGTCGTTCATTTCCGATGGGATCGAGAGAGTACTGAGAAGTCCGTGCGAATGCCATGCAGCGGTTAGTGTACGCTGTATACGTTGCCTGGCCGAAGATTCTCAACGGACTTCGCAACGGGTGTTCCTGGTATCCTAGCTTTTTGTGAGGCCATATGTAAAGCCCAAGAAGCTGTCTGTATATCATCGAGCGAAGTTCGAAAGGCAAGTCCAACAACTTAAAAGCGCGGCCATTCGCCTGCCACCAGCACTGTTGGCTGTTGTCAACAGCACGTGGAGGCAGAGTCGCGAGCTTTGCCGTGAGCCAGTTTCCGAATGAAACCCATTGATATGAGAGCCCAATCTCTATGTCGCTCAATAAGGTTGCTACTGGACCGCATGTAAGAACCAATGAGGGTCGTCGGCGTATCTGTAATGCATTTGTCTTGCCAAGTTCCCCAGATGTATGGCGCGCGAAGAAGGTTCCGTCTTGAAGCGACTCCAAGGACATGTCGGCGATCGAGGTCTTCCTCCATACATCGAAGTCGATCTTGCGCAACTCGAGGAGACGGTCCTGTAACATACGGTAGTCAACGAGCTGAGAGTCGTGTCAGCCTGGTATTCGAGTAACGTTCACGTCGCACGTACAAGCCCGGTCTCGTTGCTAAAGCCCTTACATTTGCACCGAACCTCAACCCAATCACGTAGAGGACGCCAGCTACGGCGCCCGCGGACCTGGACACATGCTAGAGGAGATATGTCTGCTATGTCTGACTTGTTCGACAACGAGAGATCATAGCGTATCTTGACGTGAGGGGTTCTTGGGCTTATGCCGACGAAGCTATAGTAGCCGGAAGAAACTTGTTGGATCTTTCGCGGAGACACCTTGAGCCCGACCGTCTTCGCGTGGAATGTGGCGCATCCGCGGCGCTTCTCAGCAATGTACTCGTTGATCGTGGCCGAGATCAATTCCTTGGCATGTCAGTGTCGCCATACAATAACGTTATATGAGCCAAACTTACTGCTTCTTCGACCGCATTGGGAGCATCCTGACGACTCGAGTGTTGTGACATTTTGCCGCTAGGTCTAGGGGTTAAGTACCTAGGTACACAGCCACTGGTCATAGTTCGGGAAGGAGTGTGATGGACAGAGGTTTTATATACGCAGGCGAAAAGAACGGACAAGGGTATGGCCCTTAGGCAGCGGTCTGTGTGAAGGTTTCCGGTCTATGTCATGTCAGTGCGCCAAAGCTTTCTCGAGACTCAATAAGGGTAGATTCAGGCAGAAGCCGGGGACTTGTAATTGCTAGTCGGCGAGATGATCGTATATTGACTGCGAGCGTAGTATAAATAGGCGACTACTAGTTCTTAAGCCTGAACAAGAAAGCAAGAGACGCAAAATAGATTTGATGTGCGGATAAGGGGCGAAGAACGTACTAGGTAGGCTGTTTGCTGTGCGGTGATGAGACTGGAAGGAAGTCATAGTGAAAAGTGGCGCGCTAACAGTTCTCATGTGCTTCATAGACCGCATTGCAGGATCACCATGCACCAGCTGCGATTAAGACAGATAGTCAGGACACCGAAATTGTATTCGTATCGTCTGAATGTGTTTATTCACAGCTATTGTAGGCTACATAGTAGAAGATAGCCCACTTGTGACAAGACCAGACTCGTCGCAAACCCCCTGTATCTGTCGTACGCAGCCATGAAACCGCCTCTCAGAACCGGAGCGGCTCTGCAACCGTAACATCTCATTCCTCAAGCATGGTCTCATCTGCATCAACGGCGGGGCTTGGTAGAGCAGACTCACCACTTACCCAAGTCACAGGCCACGGGATCACCCCATGAAACTCCCTCATGGAACAGGAATCGGAATACTCACTGAGACACCTCATGTCCTGACAAACATGACCATAAATGCAGTCGATACGACGGCAAGCACAGCCTATACTGCAAGGGCTCCTCTTGACCATGTATGTTATCAACTTGCGGATCTGAGCACTGATCTCTGAGTGACTGAAGAAACAATCATCCCCGAAGCCACACACGCCCCTGAGATGAAAGTCAGTGCAAGGCCGCACCCCGCTCCCAAATTTCTCGGTAAAAGCTTGCTTATCGGCAGGGGAGGGTCGCGACATATGGTAGTCCACCCGCTGCCCGCGATTGTTGATTGGTACATGGTGGGCTGGCGCGTCGCAGTGCCTTGGGAGCTGGCCAAATTGACGAAGTACGTGTGTGGTGGCGTTCGATGCGGTGAATTGGACACTTCCATTGCCGCCAGGAGTAACGTATTGGGAACTGCGTAAGTCATCATTATGGGAGGCTTTGTCGCTGATCAATTTCTCTAGGTATCGCTTCCTAATCGAGTGTGGTGCGAGCGATGAGAACGAATCTTTGCCTGCGGGCTTATCGAAGACCTCCGGGATGCTGATAGAATCGCACGGCAGCGGAACCAAGTTCGCACCTGCGCCCATCCCGTTCCCATGTACTAGCGTAACCTTCTTGAGATTTGTGCGCAGCATGGCGAGGTACACAGGTCGTCTCCAAGCGGCGAAGAAGACGTGCTTACAGTTCGGGTCAAGGCGAGCTGTTTGAAAGGCATCTAGAAAAGTCAGAAATATGCATACCAAGCTGGTTGTTTCGTGTGAGATATGGCCCACTCCAGAAGTATACGTTGTATTGCGATGCACGCTTTGGCAAGACACAACTCAGCGTATACCTCCAGGGTATAGTATGATTGGTGTACGATTTGTAAGATCTTGGGTTGTGGGTATCACTCACCGGCTACTTTGACTTCCACGATAGCCTCGTCCCGAACTCCGATGAAGTCGAAATAAGGGTCCATCGAAGAGAACTGGATAGTAAATTGCTGCAGCGGGCAGAGGAGATCATTCTCCAGCTTGGCAGAATTGGCGTAGACGCGAACCACCAATCGAGACGTGCGAAGTGACGCAGCTGAGGAGATCTCGATCAGCTGTTTCCTAATCGCGTCGTACAGGCGATTTCTGATGTTGTATGGTTGATCGCGATCCAAGGCGGGGTAGTTCTGGTTGGAAGACTTGTTGAAGATCTCGTTGATGAACTAAGAAGCAGTTAGCATTGGCAGTCTGGCACAATGACTGGGACTTAGAAAGACTGTCGTTATTGGAAGTTGTACTCTACCCTGGAGGTATTCAACGCGACATCTTTGATGCTTTGTTAAAGCGCAATACGGCGTACAGCTTCAGGGTGCGATATACATGGGTAATGCAACTTACTGGATGGCTATGCGCATCGATCAAGACCAGCACATAAGAGTTCTCTAATGAGTAGGACTGCTCCAAGACAACTACAGCCTCTAGGAGCAGGCTCTTTGACGTTTCCTGGGTGTTCTCGTCGCCGTTGGCGAGGCTACGCAGGCGTGCCGACAAGTCAGCGAGTTTCTCGGAGTCGGCCATGTTGTTGAGGTAGTCGAAGAGAAGAGAGCATGACTGGAAGGTAGCTGTAAATCGTTTACAAGATCCAGGTCAACACGCGTCGCTCCTCATCTTCACCTTTCACCGCGCCAAGGCGGTGAGCGTGCGACGATCGACCGATTAGGAAGTCAACATAACAAACGCGACAAAGACGCTCGAATGAATCGCAGTCGAAAGCGGTAGAAGCAGATCGAAGCAATGGTAAAGAGAAGTAACGCAAGAAGTGGACCTGTCGACCACACATGAGACTGTACAGCAAGTATCAAGGCACTATTGAACGTCAATGGTGGTCGAAGACAAGGCCTCAAAGGCCGTAGTACAATGTCGAAAGCACTGCATATCTTGACGCAGTGCCAACGCCATCTCCAGTACCAAGACCTAAGTATCGGCCGTCCCAGCTGAGCAGCTTACTCTGCGCATGCTTGATTTGAACATCTCTTTCTCCCTTTCTGGGCAAAACGAATAGCTTTCCAGCAAGCATATGCAATCAAGCACCGTTAGCAGCTCGTAAAGCCTGGGAGTGTCTGCGCCTAACAAGTGGGCAACATGGCGAGAGAGAACGGTCCTCAAAGATTTCCATAAAATGCAACGAGATATCGTGAGGACGTATCTGTTGAAGCGCAACGGAGAGAACTGCCGGCGCGGTCGGTACACCAGCGCTCTAAGATGATGATCAATGACGTCATCACCCTTTCCTTTTCCCACAATCCCAGCCACACCGATCCGCGTGGCTGTTCCTTTTTCACCATCCACATCGACAACATTAGAGTACCCTCTTTAATAGCATACTAGAATCTTCGCGCCACGCTTCGATATCCTCGCATCAGTCTGCCCGCGTGGGCGGGATCCCTGCCCCAGCTTCTCTAGGCCAGCGTAGCACGCTTTTATGGCGAGAGCAGCCACCTGTTCACTATGCGCGGGTGCACACACCAATAACGATTGCCAACTCGTTTGCGATCATCGTACGGTTTTTTCGGAAGCACGGCAACTGCCCAGTGTCATTGCTAAGTAGCCCTTGAACGTCTCGCTACGCCGTTTGATGTTATCGGTATCGCCATCGGCTCTGCTGCGTTGCGACAGGCGCTGCTTCAACATAGACCCAGAACAGTCAAAGACTATAAGAAGGTCGATAGAACCAACATCCCGTTCAAGATACTGCTTGGTCCAGTTTTTGCGAGATTACTGGTGGTAAGCGTGCGAGCCTCGTTTTATTGTGGTCTAGTGCCTATGAAAGCATCATCCAGGAAGAACGTCTCATTTCACCATCTGGAGCACTCGCACCCACTTTGGTTCCTTTCGGTCTAACGCAACCATTGCGAATCTCTGCATCGATAATGCTCGTGTAGGGGCTGTCAGGCTGAGTGGCATCTGCCTGCAGAACGTCTCCTACGCTCAAGTGCGCACACAAGAATGTGGCTGAGTTGGCCGTACGGAGTAAGCTCGCGGAACCGGGACCCCCGAGAACGGATATCACGCGCAGATTCCTGTCTGCAACCTCATGAATACCCTGCGACTTGTCCAAAATACTAACCTATTCGGCATGGAGATACAAGGTTACTTGTGTGTGTACTAGCCGAGATTGGCACACTAGGGCTTCATAGGTCAGCATGCAGTCAACCCCCGGCGCGCGCCCTTGAATGACTCCACATTTCGCGAACGCAGTCCATTCCATGCGTCACATTGGCGCGGCTGTCACCACTTCCGTAGTCCACTCCTTCCTTTCTTGAATAGCACTGACTATCCCTATGTCCCTACTGCGCAACATGGATACCTGGTCCTCAAATGTAGAAGACGATTCGACTGTCGGTACTGTGTCGCTTGGTATGGTGGTTATTGATGAGATCCACCTGCCAAAACGATCGCCTTTGATTGACGTAGCGGGGGGCTCCGGAGCTTACGGTATGTATCTTACACGTGTGGCGCTTTTAGAACGCTGATAAACTTACGATAAACAGCAACGCTTGGGAGCCGCCTGTTCAAGACCCCTGCGCGATCGAAGACGGTGGGCTGTCTGGCTCTTGTGGGCTACGACTTTCCCGATGCTGTGCGAGAACAGCTAAAGTCCTGGCGGACCACTCTGCACGTAAACGTCTCGCAGGACAGACTGAGCACCAGAGGGCTTCTTGAGTACGAAGATGATACATTTGGACGTATGTGACTGCCTTGTTCTAGTGATAGACTTTTGCAGCTTACGATTGCCTAGCGAAGAAGTTCCGCTATACTACGGAGCCGTTGAAGCCATCACCAATCGATCTCGTAAACACAAATCTACTTGGCTCGGAAGCATTTCATCTCCTTGCACCGCCCGAGGTTGTCGAAACACAGATTCCAGAATTGATAAAGCTTCGCAGGCAACACGGGTTCAAAAACCGGCCATTCATAGTGTGGGAACCATTTCCAGCAGCTTGCACCACCCAGAACCGACCTTCATTCCTGAAAGCCTGCAGACTTGTGGATGTGTTTTCGCCCAATCACTTAGAAATGTCTACCATGCTCGAGGATTCACCCTGCGAAGGCTTTCAGCCTGGCCGACTGGAAACATATGCACTAGAGTTCAGCAAGGCAATCGGACCGAGCGGAAGCGGAATCGTTATTGTGAGAGCAGGTGAGCATGGCTCACTGACCACTCAACATGCAGCTAAAAGTGTATGGCTACCCCCATACTACGAACCATCGGCGGTCAAGGTTATCGACCCCACCGGTGGTGGCAACACGTATCTAGGCGGGTTTATTGCAGGCTGGAAAGCATCAGGAGATATTCATGAAGCTTCTATGTACGGTAACGTGGCTGCAAGTTTTGCTATCGAGCAGATCGGTTTGCCTTCTTGTGAAGTGAGCGATGGTGAAGAGATATGGAACGGTACTCGGGTAATGGAGCGTCTTGCTGAGTACAGAGCACGGCTCAGCTGCACAGGAAAGAAATGAGAAGAATATATCACACAGGTAGAAGATACCGTTGCAATGGTCGATTCGACTGCGCGTTTGGGAGATGTCTATCTAGATGACAAAGGTTTTGATCCTCCTTCACTCTCCCCAAGAAAGCCTCCCAGCCTTCATTCCGTTACGACTGAACAGATTTGAGCTGAGACGAAGTTCTTACCGCTACCACCGACTACATCGCGTCGTATCCCGGCTTTAACACAGCCACGCACAAGTGAGGCTTCAGTCCGCGAACCCACAGCATCACGGAGAATACTCCGCCGAAATCTACTCGCAACCTAGCGTACCAAACTGCATACTAACGCTACTGTCTAGATGCCGCTGTAGAACGGAGATGCCACTTTAGATTGGAGATGCCGCTGTAGATTGGAGATGCCGCTGTAGATTGGAAATACAGACTTCACCATTCCGTTCCCGAGAAGGGGATCCATGTAGCCGCGGCTCAGCCCTGCCACCTCGTATCGAGCGCCTGTATAGTGTCTAGGAGGGATTCAACAGCTCTTGGTGTGACGATTCATAGCTCACGGACTAATCCCGCAGCCTCATCATGATGCAAGGCATCCTTCCCCTCCGCCTGCGGTAGATTCGGATATCGCTCGTGATGCGGCTGACAAGACTTGGGAGATATGGGGCAATGAGGCAATACGAAGCTGTGGGCGTCCCGTCCTCGCTATCAGTAGCGCGCGGATAGGTAATCCCGAGCGAGCGATTTACCACCATCTTACAACGCAAGACTATCAGAAGCTTGAAGATGCAGGGTTCGCCATTCGAGGGGCTCATGGAGCAACGCCGCCACCCTTCATGCTGGGGAATGCCGGGTTCCTGTACATATGCTATTGCGTATCGTGCAGGAGGCTGAGGAGGCTCAGTAAGTCACGCGCCAGGGTTCCCAAAGGATGATAGTTGGATCGTCAAGCATGAGGGGTTGGTGAAGGCTTTGCAGCCGTATGCCTAGATCTCTCCCAAGAAATTCTGACAGGACTAATGCACGCACACATGCAGAAGTCTCAATCCCATGCGTCTCAGCTTTCCACTAGATGATCGCAATGATCAGCGCTCTATCACGTTTGAGGATCCCATTGGGTACCGATTGGGTACCAGAAAACGCTACCCCACCGTTGGAACGTGCATCTCCAGGGCTTGTTTTGTAATCTGACAGAACGGGACGCTAAAATCGCCGATCACTCCTCAACTTCCCGCTCTTGCACGTTTGCCGTACTGCTGCCACGACCACCAACGTCAATAATACGTTGTCACGATACGTCTCTGGACGGTCAACACTCATGTCTTAGGCTCATGTTTGCTCGTTATTGGTACGCACTAAACGACATCATGGCGGCACGCATTCCGGTTTGACACGGATTCGAATACCGAATCGATGGAAGAATGTCTTTGCCGCTTTGTCTACTCAAGCAGGCCGCGATAGGTATTCAAGAGAGAAATATATAAATTTGTGAGTTCGTGGCTGTTTGTTAGGACGACCACATCCGGATGTCTCTTCAGAAACACTTCTAGTAGCACGTCGACTTTACGCAATATATACCAACAAAGAGAGCAACACTATCCTCACCACCATCGTAGCATTCCCACTTTACGATATTCTTTCAGAACGCATCCCTGATTCCAACCATGCCTTCTTTCCTTATGAGAACTTCACACGGTCTCATCAGCATCTACGACTCAAATCTCAAGAACGACCAGCCCGCCCTCCTTCTCCTACACGGCAACGCCTCATCCTCCAAACAATTCCGCCATATCATCGAGTCCCCCACCATCAACAAGGGCTGGCGCATCGTTACTCTAGACCTCCCCGGCCACGGCTGCTCGTCCAATGCCCCTGATGTCAAGACTACGTACTGTCATCGCGGCTACGCCGACCTCGTCATACGTGTCTTGCAGCACCTCAGAATCGAGTCTGTGGTGCTCATGGGCTGGAGTCTGGGTGGTCACATCGCGATCGAAATGCTTCCTTGTCTCGCTCATGACGATCCTCCCATGGTGGAAGATGCTCCTCGGATCAGCGTCAAAGGGCTTATGCTTATCGGTACCCCTCCCTCGCGTGGCGCCGAGCAGATGGCTCAAGCGTTCAAGATGCCGGCTGGTGGTCTTACATTCACGGGGAACAGGAATTGGGTCAATTTGGAGGCTGAGCTTTATTTGAGACATGGTGTGGCAGCGGGTAAGGAAGAGTGCTATGAGAAGTGGATGTTGGAGGATGCGAAGCGGACCGATGGGCGCGCAACAGTCTTCATAGCTGATGCCGCGACTGGAACGAAGGATAGCCCGCCCAAGGGTTGCGATCAAAAGCGTGTGGTGGAGGCCACTGATGTGTTGATCGCGGTCGTGAACGGAGTGGAAGATCAGTTTGTCAACCTGGATTATATCGACGAGGAGGTGAAGTGGAAAAGGCTCTGGAGGGGTGAGTGCTTGGGCTTATCTGGGCTCGGGCATGCGCCATTTTGGGAAGATGCGGCAGGATTTGAGAAGGTGTTGGAGGAGTTTTTGGACGATTGTGAGGAGTGGGAGGGTTCGGATTGTGATTCTGCTGTAGGTATTTAGTCTACCATGTTCATGGTTCCTCCCCATGTACGCAAGTCACTGATACCTAATTCATATGTAGTTTCCGCTACTTTTTCTTGTTGAATGTGCTGGTGGCATAACGCAGGCACGACGCGGCTGAGTAACACCGTAGATAATCGCAATACAGGTGTATTTCCCAAACACCTTTGCCCACAGTATGCAGCAGGCAGTGTCCGCTACAATCCCATCATAGTCGTGAGTATGTGCACTGAAACATCACTTCGCAAGCCCCTGTGTCCGCTAATTGCTGACAGCCATCTCGATACGAGGACATGTGATCGCAAGTTCGCTTCTGGCGAGGTTTGGATGGGGCGTAACTAGTCAGTGCTCATGGAAGCGCTAGAGTTATGATTCCGAATGCTAGATCCCTGTACACGTCCCGCCTGATCTACGCATGTCTGATCTAATGCTTACGACCTAGCAGGGCGTAGTCCCACTCCTCTTGGTACTTCGGAAAAAAATCCCGCTCACCAATAAGGTGCTTGCCCATGAACGCTTCCCACTGCTCGCGCTTTTCCCCACCCTGAGTCATGGCCTCGAGCTCTCGCGCTCTCCGCATGCGGACCAACTTTTCCGCGGTCTGCTTCAGCATCTCACGCGGGGCGGCATATTCGTTAACACTCTTATCAGGCTCTTGGCGTAGCAGATATACCTTGGTAGCAGTGCCTATCGTATCCAGCGTCGGGCACAGGGTGTGGTAGAGGGTTCCATTTGGGGCTTTCCCGATAAGTTTCGCGGGTTCCCATTCATCAGTTCTCATCTTTTCTAGGCCCTGGGTGACTTCGAGGCGTTTGTACCAACCACGTTCACCCTTAGCGATAGTTCGCATCACTTTGTGCCGGTTTTGGCCTTCCGTGTATTTGATGAGAGTGTTTTTGAGCACGGCTGTTCTTTTCGCGTATCTTCTCAGGGTAGATAGACCGAACGGAATAATCGCCGCGAGAGACGTGTCGTCGGAGGTTGAACTGGTTTGACCAGCACCAATGGATAACAGAACGGCGGGCTCACTGTCGTCGCCCCAAAGCGAGGCGGCTTCAGAATAAGCACAAAAGCTGGGGTTGTTCTCAAGTATGCCGCCATCTTTGAGGGTTAGGCTACCATTAGGGCCCATTACTTCCAGCGGCTTGAAAAATAGGGGTGCGGCAGTAGTTGCTCGACCGGTCTGCCATGTGCGCAAGTCAGGAGGATCTTTGTTGTAAATGGGAACCCATGGCGGAAGCGTGTCAGGGTTGTAGTGATGATTGTACGTGCGCAAGAGAGATGTCTCGTGCTGTTGGCCTGAGTAGAGCGTTGTCAGGCATATCCTGGATAGCATGTGGATCAGCTCTTTTCTCACGATCATAGTATCGATGCTGACTCACGTTTGACAAAGCTGATATTCTGGGGTTTGAAGCTCATGAGCAAGGATCTTAGCCTCCTTGGGGGGACGACCTCGCCGTATTTCTGGGTCATCCGAATCGTCCGAGCCGTCTCCGTGACCTACATATATATCCAGCCCTGTTGAGCGCCACTTGAAATGTTCGTCATAATCGCACGAAGCTCGTTCGTGCTGTTTGCAGTGCTGTCGAACCATCACTCTGAGAGTAACCTCAAGATCCGAAGCACGATATCTGACAGCAAGAGGTGCCAATTTCCGAGGGTTTGCATACATTGCTTCTAGAATCGATTTGAAAGCAATCATCGTCTCTGGTACTGTCATACGAAGTCGACTCAGTGCAATGGCTAATATACTGCCAACGTTTGTTAGCAGATGTCGCTACTGATCGACCACTATTGGGTTCAACAAAAGCTTGCGCTGGTCGACCATCGCATAGGCAGCACTTACCCTCCCGTCGATGTGCCATACATCTTGTGAAAGTAATGACATGGACGGAAATCAGAAGTCTGAAAATTTCTGGGATAGTGTGTAAACTGTCGCTCGAACCGGTTCTCACAAGCGATTACCTCGTCCATAAGTGCCTTAATAATCAAAAGACTTGACCACGACTTGACTCCACCACCATCTGACACTTATGTTAGCGATCGCTCTGGAGACACTGGCTGAAGTACAAACCGAGGGTGAGTAGACATTCTCCTGTTCCACCCTCCACTGATCTCGACCATTTGGTCCCCGATTTGTCTGCTTGAGAAAGTGTATCGTTGTACACTGAACGGAAAGATGCGCCATCGTTGGATTCCTCCTCTCTCTCGGTCTTAGTGAAGGGTTCCTCGCTGCTGAGGAATGAACGGACTGATGCGACATCGTTGTGTTCTTCGTCTCGAGCAGTCTTACTGATAAGTAGTCTGTTTAACACTGAACGCAGCGATGCGCCATCGTTGGTTTCCTCGTCCCCTTCAGTCTCAGTGACGGCGATATTGTAAGCTTCAGACAGACGCAATGTTGGAGCTGTAAATCCGGATGGCGATACTTTGGATTTGGCTCCTTCGACAATCCAAGGATCAGTATTCTCCAGGAAGGTATCCTCCAATGCAGCTACAATGAGGTGACGGTTGTTTCCGACGAACTCTGTAGTAAAGCCTGCTGCTCGTAGAGATCTCTCTATTTCTAACCAGACCTGTTGTTCGCCATCGGTAATTTCTGGAGCCGTAGTAAAGCTGCGAATAGATGGAGCCGTGACGAAGCTACCAATGGATGAAGCTGTGACAAAGCTACGAATGGATGGAGCTGCAGGGAAGCTGCGAATGAATGGTGCCGTGACAAAGCTGTAAATGGAAAAAGCCTTGTCTGTATTTTGAAGGCTATTCACCAGCTGAGTGAGCGTCTCCTTGATGGTCTCGTAGTCCTTTTGTGTCTTGCGGTTGCTGACGACGTTAAGATGTGATTGCAGACTTGTGAGCCTCGACCGCAAATCCAGAACATTTTCGCCAAAAGATGGAGAAAGCTCGTATCCTCCAAGTTCACCTTGCTCTAGCGTCTCTACCAGTAGTTTGAGCTCTCGTAGTATTGAAGCGCATTCTTCTGAAACTCTTCCAAAGTGTAGGTCGCTGGAAAACACGCTGGTGTCGAGCGTATTTGCATAGTCTTCAGTGTATTTCGCAAATACACTCAAAGCCTCTAGGCTACTGAGAAGTTTATGGGAGTTGTTTGTTTCGTTGCAACGACTGCTCAAATGTTCAGCGACCTGCCGTATTTCGGTGATCTGGTTGATGGTGATGTCCCTGCCTGCCGTAATGTCGCCTTGGAAGACGGCGCCACCCCCGCTATCCACGGTTCGGTCCGGCGGGTCCATTCGTGCGCAAGGAGCTTGGCTGAGGTCTTGCAACCATCCGGAAAATTATTTAGAGGCTGGCGGCGACATGCGATCCATGAATTGGTCTTGATAACGTCTGGGATGGAGGTGTTCTTCTGGGTGTCCTAACAAGGTGGGGTCAGGCTGACTGCGTATCGCACACATTGCAGCTGGCTTGGTCAGCTCAGCTGCAGGTGCGGCTGAGGCAATGCAGATGCTGGCCCGCCATCGGTTTGCTTGACTCATCCTTCGGAGCCTGTTGCGCATAGCTTCGAAAGCTGTGGAGGTACCAGAAATGGGTTTATTTCGCCATTTGAAGACTAGCGGGAAGAAGAAAAAAGGGCCAGCGAGCGACAAGCAAACCGAGGAGCCACCAGAGGAGTTGTTCTCGACGGCAGGCGCATACGGACTCAAAACGGTAGCGGAAGGAGCGACTGATACCGTAGAGTAGGCGCCTAGCCTCACCACCAGAATACACCTAACATCCATTCTAGTATCGTGTTTTTTCACGGCCTTACGAGTAATCGCGAAATCACCTGGACATACAATAAGACAATTTTCTGGCCCGAAGACCTCCTTGCGAATGACCTCAAAAACGTACGCATCTTCACCTTTGGATACGACGCAGATGTAGTCAAGCTCCTCACCGTAGCCGGCGGCAACACCGTACGCGACCACGGCAAATCTCTCGCGCAAGACCTTTCTTTGCGAAGAGCAGAAACAAATACAGTACGCGAATCACAAGTCTAGAACTGCCTTGTTCGCTAACTGGCGATAGAGCAACCGTCCAGCAATCTTCGTAGCCCACAGCCTCGGTGGCCTAGTCGTCGAGCAAGCCCTCCTAATCTCACGCGGAACCTCCCAACTGCACGTGAAAGCACTCCTAACCTCCACCTTCGGCATCGCCTTCATGGGAACCCCCCACCTCGGCTCACGAAAAGCAGACTGGGCAGCCCCACTAACCCGTCTCTCCTCTCTCGTCCTCAAAACCAACCGAGAAATCGTCGGTGTGCTGGAACCAGCGTGAGTAACATCCCTATCCAACCCACATTCGAGACAAACACTAACTCCACACCCCCATCTCTAGCTCAGAAATGCTGTCAACCCTCCAACAAGAATTCCACACCCTCCTCGAAGACAGACGACGCAACGAAGGGAAATGGATAGAAATATTCTGTTTCTACGAGGAGTTGAGTTATGCGGGCATAGGAGATATCGTGCCGAGACAGTCGGCGATTTTGCCGGAGTATCCTAATGCTAGTATCCATCAAAATCACTCTGATATGACAAAGTTTAGTGGAAAGGCAGATCCGGGGTATGTGAGAGTACGGGGGCAGCTGTGGGTGTGGGTTGAGGCGGTTAGCAAGAGAGAGCTTAGTACTACTGCGACAACCCAAATGCAAACTGATTCCGATGAACGGACACTTGTCTCGCGTTCGGTGAGGTCAGAGCAAATATCTGATATACCCGAGGGCATGGGGGTATCTGAGTTAGAAAGAGAGGGAGAAAGGCAACCGGCGCGAAGAGAGGGAGGAGTACAGGAAATGGGGAGCAGTCGGACTGGTGCTGTTTTATCTGGAGGCGGCCCTACCTTTATGGGGAATGTTAGTGCTGGGCGGGATTTTAGGAATAATCAACATTCGTAAACCAAAGGATGGACTCTCGATTGATGGCGAAGATGGATCCATTCGCGTCTATTCGAGTCGCTCTACTTCTTCTTCTCCTCTTCTTCATCCTCCTCATCATCCTCTTCCTCTTCCTCATCACTATCCTCTTCATCCTCATCCTCATCCTCATCATCCTCATCCTCATCATCATCCGCATCCGAAACCTCCTCTCCAAGAGCCTTAAGCCGTTCCTACAATCATTAGCCCCATCTCTCATCGACTCTTCACACAAATGTAAACGACATACCTTATCTTTCGTCCTCTTCTCCTCAAGATCAGCCAGCACCATAATCAAATCCTCAAGCTCTGTCGCCTTCTCCTTCTCTGCTTCTTCCGCTTTACGCAGTTTCTCTTTGAGATCCTTCACTTCCTTCTCACTCGCACCTCCAGCCCCAGCCTTGCCCTTCTGAGGGTTTGACTTTGCAGCAGCGGCGGCGGCGGCTTCAGCTTTACGCAATTTCTCCTCTGCTTCTTTGACCTTCCAAGTCGAATCTTGTGCCTTGGTCTTAAGATCTTGGTTCTCGGCTTTGAGCTTGTCGATGGTGGATTGGAGAGCTTCCTTCTCAGATTTGGATTGCTTGAGTTGGGCTTCGAGTGTGGATTTGGACTTCTCTGTCTCTTCTTTGAGTTGCTTGAGTTGAGTCTCTTTCTCATCTTCCAGCTCTCTAAGTTGCGTCTCTTTTTCTTCGGTGAGGAGCTGGAGCTGTGCTTCGCTGTTTTGGACGTGCGTTTGTGCGTTGCGCAGGGTTTCGGTGATAGTGGCGACTTCGGTGCGGGTTTGTATGAGTGTATGTTCGAGGTTGCGGATGTTTTCGATGGCTTCTTGGCGAGCCTTCTCTGAGGCGCCCAACCGACGCTCTAATTCAGTGCGTGTTCTATGTGCGTCGTGGAGCTGCTCGTCGTACTCTTGTCTGACCTTTGCGATGGCAAGGTTGGCGTCCTTGCTCGCTTGCTGCACCTTATTGTTGAGCGCAACGATTTGAAGATTGTACTTGTTCTCCATCTCTAGCATAGCTTGTCGTTGCTCACGGTCCTTCTTTGCAACTTCCTTGTCGAGATCGTCGTGCAATTTGTCGTTGATGCGCTTCAAGGTGCTGCGTTGCTCCTCGGCCGATTGCTGGGTCTTGCGGTGCTCCGCCTGCTCCTGGTCTATCTTCTGCTCCAAAGTCATGAGTTGTGCTTTGAGCTCTTGGATAGTTTGCTCCTTCTCATTACTCTCCCCACGAAGCGCATCGACTACATCTCTGTCAACACCATCATGTGACTGGTGCTGTTCGATATTCGGATTGCGATCGATGGCCCGCGATAGTCGGCTAAAGTTATCTTTTAAAAAGTCTACAAAGGCTTCGTCGAAAAAGATGTCCGGCAAAGCACCACCTCCGCCGGCAGTCCGGGGCAAGACCTCAAAGTCTCGTACGAGCGGATGGCGTCGTAATCCGGTTATTGCGTCCAGGTATTTGTCACGACCGAGCTTCGTCATGAGAACTGGTTGTAGTTCGCGTCGTGGCACAGGCGAGTCCCTTGTTGAGAATTCGTATACGACTCCCAGCAGTGCAGCACAAAGACCGCGAATCATGATTCGGTCTTCTCCTGGGGTCAGGACGGCTTGTACCAAGCTTTGCAGACTGCTGGCTTCTCCCAAGAAATCATCTACTGCCGCGGCATCCTCAAATAGCCAGCCTAGCAATAGCATTAGATAGGCTACCGATATGCGCTCATCTTCCCCGAGTTGCAGGCTTGCGATGAGATTCGCCGTAAGCGTTTGTATGCACGTGACGACCTCTTCACCACTCTCTGCATCTCCTTCCTTGACCCCCATAAGGGTGTCTTTCGCTTGATAGTCGTCAAAGATGAGGTGGTAGATTAGATTCGAGGCAAACCAAATTCTGTATGGGTCGCCAGTTGGGGGAACTTGTGGCCCGGCCATGAGGATCGTAAGAGCATTGGCTGTTTCGTCGCCGCCTTCGTGACCACCGATGGCTCGGTTAAGGAAGTGTTCTTGTATTTGTCTGTGGTTGTAGAAGTAGGCCTTGATGCACTCACATCCTGCATTGCGCAGGTCGAACAGGTCGTTGGGCGCCGGAAAAAGGACCAGGTTCAGAAGCGCTTCAATAACGTACACGGAAGGTACGCCGTTGGGAGAAGTGACGCCATTCGTAGGAGGCTCAACAATGGGCCTGACCTGCTCTTGAGCGAATCCTTCTTGGAGCCGAGCGTTGCCTCTAATCAGATCCGCGCATGTGTTGAGAGCCTCGATCTTGATGGGCATGGCGGTCGCAGGGTCGAAGGCGATGTTCAAGAGTTGTCGAACGAGGCCATGCTGCTGGAAGACGTTCTGGTTCTGCAGTGTGCCCGGGCTGCCTTTGACGAGGAACATGCGCATGATGGCGAGCAGCCCCCAGATGTTCTTGTCGCTCTGCGGACTGACCCAATCGTCCTCTTCTTCAGCACTTGCGCGTGCCTTCTTCGGCTTGTTGCCGCCGGGTAGCAGCGCGGCAAACCTCGCGACATGGCCCATCTCGCGTATGTTGGTCTGGTTTGACACGTTGAAGCGTATGAGGATAGCCAGCAGACTCAAGCAATCCTGAACGACAACCCCGCCCTGGGTGAGCCCGCCATCGGCATGTATCATGTTGAAGACCTTGGTAAAGGCATCCTCGAAGACGAAGAGCTTCTGCAGTTCGGCAGAGGTTCGGGACAGGTCGGTAAGGACGACGAGGGCTTCGTTACGGATGGCATCGCGGGGGTCGTCCAAGGTGGCTACCAGGCGCTCGATGCCGCCGGGGGCTGTAAGGACACATTCCTGGGTTCGTTGGGGGCGGGCTAGCGAGATGGCGCGTATCAGTTGCAGCGAGTACAGGCGGGAGTAGAAGTCGGGCTTGTCTAGGAGATCAAGCAAGAGAGTGATGTTGTCTTGCCGCTATCATAAGCTCAGCACTAGTAGATATGTAGCAGGACAGGACCTACTTGGGAGAACTGGTCGGCCAGCAGCAACTCCAGCTCTTCCGAGGCCTCGTGACTGGTCTCGTCTGGGTGAAAGAGCATGAGCAGCGTCTCGAGCACCACCTTGAGCGTGTCGACGTCGTCGCCATCTTTAGTCAGCGAGGCGATGAGCCCTTTGAGCGCGCCCGAAGCGACCGAGGCGGGATATTGTTTGGCGAAGCTCCGGAGGCCGAGGATGGCAGCGCGACGGTCTTCGAGGAGGCTTGCGCTCGTCAGCCTCCCACTAAGCGTGCTGATGGTGTCGGTCGCAGTCTGCTTCGGAGGCGCATTGGCCTCGAGAACGCGCATCATCTTGGGGAATTGTCAGGGCTATGGCCTCATGGTAGAATATACGGCGAGTGTTCAGTCATACGTATGACTATCCATAGGAACGTAGTCGACTCAGTACAGTCGCAACCATAGTGGGTGGAGCTCCACGTATAATTTGGCGCACGGGCTCGCGGCTCCTCCACATCCCTGCAGCGTCGGCGAGTCGGCAAAACCGCGACCTCCAGGGTCCCGGCCGCGATGCTAAGGAAAGAGCGCGTCTTCCATCGCCGCTCCCTCTCCCTCTCTCCCCCCATCACCACCTCCCATCAACCATCGTGCGCACACTCGGTGATCGCGCGCCGACGGAGATTGCGGCACTAGCACTCATATCGCCGCACTGGATATCGCATCCGGCGCTTCAAGAGGAGGAAAGGGCTTTCATCGCCATCAGGCAGTCTTTTCTTTCCACCGCGCATCGTCGCAGCACTACCACACACTCCAGACTACTAGTACACGTGCTCTCGCACTCATCGCAATCGCACTCGCACTACTACCCTCCAGCTACAGTCTCACTATAGCCACCCTTCACCCTCACACGTCGCGCCACCGAGCGCCTACCGCCATCATGGGTGTCCCAGCCATGTTCCGCTGGCTCAGCCAGAAATACCCCAAGATCGTCTCAAGTGTGCAGGAGGAGTTGCCCAAGAAGGTCGGCGACAATGTCATTCCTGTAGACCGCACCGGCCCCAACCCCAACGGCGAAGAGTTCGACAACCTCTACCTCGACATGAACGGCATTGTGCATCCTTGCTCGCATCCCGAAGATAAGCCCGCGCCCAAGACCGAGGCCGACATGATGATAGCCATCTTTGAATACACTGATCGCTGTGTCGGCATGGTCCGTCCTCGTAAGCTTCTCTACATGGCAGTCGATGGTGTTGCGCCTCGTGCCAAGATGAACCAGCAGCGTTCGCGTCGTTTCCGCGCCGCCAAAGAGGCAAAGGAGAAGGATGACGAGCGCGCTGAGTTCCAGAAAATGCTCAACTCGCAAAAGGCTAGTCGTGGCGAGGACATCTCCAGTCTCGAAGAGGTCATCGAAAAGACCTGG